GAGAGAGAGAGAGAGAGAGAGAGAGAGAGAGAGAGAGAGAGAGAGAGAGAGAGAGAGAGAGAGAGGCTTATCTGGACTTGCCTGTTGGTGTTGCCGTGAGTGGACAAACAGGGCTTTGCTATTGAAGTCTGGCATTGCTGTGTCCAGTGAGGTGCTTGATTGCTCCTGATTGACATTGCGTTGGAGAGATACTTTGTGTACTGGCAAGGTGCTTGTGGGAGAAACTTCGTCTTCCTCACTCGTAATCAGATAGGTGGATGGTTATGAAGGTGGCGAGTGGAAGAAGAAGAGCCTGGAAGTCGACAAGGGAAATACAGGAAAGACATTATTATTTGAGATTGTTCTCCTACTACTACTCTTCTCTTCCTTTGTCTTGTACTTTGCTCTACTTGGTATCTCTGGGCGATTGTCATTCATCGGGCATTGTGAGTTACATGGATGGTGTTGTTGTTGTCAGCTTCTCAGTTATGGGTTCATTACACTGTGCCTCAGAAGAAGGGAAAACAGGGCAATGGTGATGCACTCGCAATTTCACATACATCATTGGCTCTCCTCCTATGAGGGTAGGCCTGGCATAACCCTACCGAGCCGGGCACGTGGGACCATGGCTAGGCCTAGTGTAACCCTATCAATCCCACGGCAGGCTGGTCGTAGGGTTACAGCCCTCCAACACGTAACCCTGCGCAATCCGACGACAGGCTGGGCCGTTGGATTACCACCCTACAACGCATAACCAATGGCATAGCATAACCCTTACGCTAGGCCTAGCATAACCCTACCGATCCGGGCAAGTGGGAACTTTGCTAGGCTCACCGTAACCCTACGACACGTAACGCTTCACAATCCAACGCGTAACGCTAGTCCGTTTGTCATAGGGTTATAGCCCTCCAACGCGTAACCATGGGCAATCCGAAGACAGGCTGGGTCGTTGGCTTCCAGCCCTACAGTGGTTAATTGTAGGCGTGCCGCAACCCTAGGCATACCTTAACCCTACACATAGCACAACCCTAGGCCGGGTGTAACCCTATTGATCCCATGACAGGCTGGGCCATAGGGTTATAGTCCTCCGATGCTAGGCCCTACAGGACTATTTACAGAGACTCATAGATGACCTGGAGGGTTACAGCCCTCCAACACTGGGCAGGAGGAACAGGTTGGAAGTCTTCAAAGCCCACAAAGATCTGAGTCGTCTGAGGCATTGTATCGGTCCTGCTAGTTCAGCGGTTGATGCCATCAACGGCGGTAGCTCAGTGGTGCTATGGTGTAATTGCTCTTCGCCCTGTGAATCTCGTTGACTGGTTTGGGGTTTGCGGAAATCAAGATGAAAAGATTCTGCACAATAGGGATCTAACAGATTACCATGGGTATTGCAGATCTTCATGGATGCAGTGGAGCATGCGCAGCGTGTCACTGACCCAGATGAGGTGTCCCGCTTGCAAGATGGGCAAAACAAGTATGTCTGCTGGCGGGATGTTAAGGTACTCTCTCTCTCTCTCTCTCTCTCTCTCTCTCTCTCTCTCTGTGTGTGTGTGTGTGTGTGTGTGTGTGTGTGTGTGTGTGTTGCTCTTTCTGGGTGGCCTCTCTCTTCCCCCTCCCTTCAGAAATAGAAACACAGGGGGCACGTGTGTGCAGGGGGTCACAACATGATTTTCATGCATAAGGGATAGGTGCGGAATTCTCAAGGGGAGTTGCAAGGGGACATCTTGAACAGTTAGTGTCCGCTGGGGGTCACAAGATCCTGTGCAAGAGGGGTTGGGATTGGGAGCGTTGCGGGGCCGTCAAGGGTAAATCTGGCTGTAGTATGTTGGTTATAACTTTATACCCATGTGGGTAAATCTGGGTATACGTGGGTTTATACCCATTTGGGTAAATGTGGGTATCCGTGGGTTTATAGTATTTTATACCCATACCAGTAAGTGTGGGTATTCGCAGGTTTATACCTCATGTGGTTGCATGCGGTTATACGTGGGGGGGGGGGGGGGGGTATACCTGTAAGGTAAATGTGGGGGAGGGGTATACCTGTAAGGTAAATGTGGGGGAGGGGTATACCTGTAAGGTAAATGTGGGAAAGTTGCCACAAATACAGCCAAATACAGGCATAATGACTGTACGTGCTATGCAGGGGAAGACAGTAGCTTTCTTGGTGATTAATAGTTATTGGTTTTGATTACCCACTGTGTATGCTCATGTTTTGCCTGCTTGATGCCTTGCTGGCTGTCTGCCTTTTTTTTTTAACGCGCACTCTTCTGTGCCCTTTTGCTACATGCGCTCTTCTCCCTCTCTTTTTTACATGCATTCTTCCTCCTTGTCTCCCTGCCTCCCCCCCCTTCTTCCCCTGTTGACCCTCCCCCTCCCTCTCTTCTTGTGCGCAACGCATCTTGAAACGCTTCTCAGCAGTCCTGCCTCACTTGCAGAGAAACCATCTAGATTTACCCACGTGGGTATAAAGTTACGACAAACCCACGTACCCAAATTTACCCACATTTACCTTACGGGTTAAACCCATGTTTACCCACATGTACCCACATGGGGTATAAAGTATAAACCCACTTATACCCACAACTACCCACATGGAGTAAAAACCCATGACTATTCACATTGACCCACATGGGTATAAAGTACTATAAACCCACAAATACTCAGATTTACCCACACGTGGGTACAAACCCACATTTACCCATAGAACGTACAGTGATTATGCCTACGGACATTACCGCCGTCTATGGACTGAAAGTTGCCCAAAATATGGGCATAATGACCGTACATATGTTCTGTTTGGGGGAGGACGGTAGAGGGTTCAAACTTCAAACTTTAAAGTTTAAACCAGCGGCGCCCCTCCGACGAACGAAAAATGTTGTCCCTGCGAGTCTGCCAGGGCAGTTGGTGCCTTTTTTGCAAAAATAAAAACGCACCTAACTATGATGATTTCTCGGAAATTCTCGCACAACAGGAAGGGGGGTATAAATGGGGTTTGAACTTTGAAGCGGTGTGCCTTAGTTTGATTTTTTATTTTATTTTTTTTTATTTTATTTTTTTAATGAAGTTTTATGAAGTGTTATCTTCATTCATAACAGTTACTTCATAAGGTATTCTGAGGTGACCCTCAGCCAAAAGTTGTTTGCATTCCACTTCTGCACAGCACATTGCTTTTCCAGAATTGTTTTTCCAAAAGTCGCAATGGGACTGCCGCCCACCGACACCCCGCCCGCCATTTGCCTTCACGAATGCCATCAGCTTGCCAGGCAGTAAGCGGTACAATTTTGCAAGCACCTGTGTAGGGAGGAGGAGGAGGAGGAGGAAGAGGAGGTGCTCGCTCCCAACCCTGTCTTCTCTTTTCACAATTTTGCAGCAGGAAATTTGAAAGGGAAAGCCAAACAAGAGAAGATGCACACTACACTACCAGTGGCGTGTGTACTAGAAAGCCATGTCTGGTGTATACATTAATATTTTTTAATATTATTTTGCCTGTTATGTTCCTGTTACAAGGATGGTTTTTTTTTTTTTTACTAGATCCATTTTGCAGAAACCTGGTACTAGTGGCCCCGGTGGGCCCGGTGTCAGTCTCAAACGGTTCCACAATGGATGTCCAGCAGGTGCTTCTCCCCACCAATAGATCGGAGCTACCCGTCACAGTTGCTGCTAGAGGAGGATGCTCATATCACCCCCCCCCTTCAGCACACTGGCACGAGGTTCCCCCCCCCCCCCCCCCCCCCCCCCCGCCCCCCCCAAAAAAAACAGAAAAGAAAACGGATTAATATAAAAGGGCGCATACGCCGCATAGCCCATACTACTATTGCTGTATCCAACAGGATTTGAACTCCCTGATGTGTTTCTTAACCGGTACATGTCCGTACGTAGTATATTGTGCAGGACTGTGCCACCTGGCATGCTATATTTGTCTGGATTGAAGCCTCTTTTTTTTTTTTTTTTTGTCTTTTTATTTGCAACTCCTCCTCTTATCATTCGCAGGCCTAGATTTTGGGGTCTGAGAAATCAGACACTTGAATGACTCTGGGCAGGTCTCTCTCTGGAGAGGGCCTCTTTTCGGGTCACGTAAATAGGAGTCTCTAGGCTGGCTTTTTTTAACTTTGAGGTGACCTCATTTTGCTGGTGCCAGATGGGTCTTTGGTCCCAGATGGGTCTTTGGTCCCAGATGGGTCTTTGTTCTTCCCGGTCCCAGGAAGAGAGGGTCACGTAGAACTTGACACAATGAGCTACGTCCCTATCGGATTGATCCACATCGCGTCACATCTTTGAAGCCAGGTTGGCCACAGGATTACGAAAAAAAAAAGGGAAACAAAAAAAAAAAAAACATCGGCTTATGATTCATTAAGAATTTGAAATTCGTGTGTCGATCGATTTCTGTGCAGGACCCTGGTCGGCCTGTAATCTCAAAGCTCTTTGGATCGGCTTTTTGCGAGGTATTTTCATCATCAACAACCACCTACATTCCCCCTCCTCCCCTCCCCCTCCCTCCGTGTGTGTGCGTGTCTAGTGACTAGCTTGTGACTTTCGCATCTGGCATTTTCCGTAGCCCCCCCCCCTCCCCCTCGTTCCAGCTTTGCATCTGGCTCTTTTCTTCTTCTTTTTTTTTTTTTGTGCATTGCAAATCCAACTTGATTCAAGTTCATAGGAGTCAAGGCAGAGTTTCTTTTCACCGCACTGTTTGGGTTGATGTTGTGCTCTTGCAACTGTTCCCGCAGGCTTTAGGTTTAGGGTTCGGTTTACGGTTCAGGGTTCAGGGTTCAGGGTTCCGGGTTAGGGTTCAGGGTAAGGGTTAAGGGGTTAAGGGTCGAGGGGTTAAAGAGTTTAGGGTTCACTGTTTGTCGAGATTGTGCTCTTGCAACTGTTCCAACAGATCAGGGTGTAGGGTTTAGGGTTTGGTTTGGGTTTACTTGTAGGGTTTAGGGATTTCGGATTAGGGTTCAGGGTCAGGGTTAATGGTCAGGGTTAGGGTTAAGGGTCAGGATTAGGGTTAGGGTTTCCTTGTGCATTGAGACTGTGCTCCTGTTTTGACAGGCTTCAGAGTTTGTGTTGCAGGGTTTGGTTTAGGGTTCAGGACTGTGGGGTTCAGTGGCTCGCTTTTTTGTTGAGATTACAACTCTGTTTTAGCAGGGCTTAGGGTGTAAGGTTTGTGACACTCTCTCTCTCTCTCTCTCTCTCTCTCTCTCTCTCTCTCTCTCTCTCTCTCTCTCTCTCTCTCTCTCTCTCTCTCTCTCTCTCTCTCT